TGCTTTATACTTGCAAGTACGTGCAGCCCCCACCCCTGCCTCCTCTTTTTTTGTTGTTTTTTCCCTTTAGTTTCCTGATAGTTTTTTTGGAACATGAAATTCACATTGGATTTTGTCGAAGGCTCTTCTGGATTCGGAGATGTGATCATAGGGTTTTCCACTTTGGACTCTGGGTAACTCCCCAGATTTCTCCAAATTCCTGTAAAATGGAGATAATAAAAAGAGGTGATCAGCCTCAGCAGTGGTTGGAGCGGAGCACACCGGCTCCCTCCGGCCCCCATGTGGGCAAGGGAGCAGGAGGCGTCTGTGACCAGCCCAGCAGTGACTGACATAGTTTCCTTTTTTTTCTAGATCTGCTCCATTTTCAAGAAACCTAGGTGTTTTTTTTTTTGTTTGTTTTTGTTTGCTTTTTGGGTTTTTTTTTTTGGTGACGGGGTTGCTGGCCAGTTGGCTCAGTTGGCTGGGGCACGGTGTTATATATAACACCAAGGTCAATGGTTCAGATCCTCATACCAGCCAGCTGCCAAAAAAAAAAAAAAAGAAACAGGTTTTTCTCCAAATCTCTGTAATTTTTAAAGTTGACTCACCTCAAACACTAAGAGAAAACCCAGGTGGGCCATTCCCGGTGGCTTGGTCATGGCTCGCTACACTCAGGGCTGCAGGGCTGGGCAGGCACGAAGGTCCACATCTCCTGCCCTGTCTCTTCCCAGTGGGGCCTGTTTGCCAAGGTCCTGAGCCTCTGGGGCTCAGGCTGCCCATCCCGAAATGGGGAGGCCAGTGATACCAGCTTGGCACTGGAGCTAAAGACGAGCTGAGTAGGGGGCCTGACTCTTGGGAGTTCTCTTCAGCAGCATCTGAATCCTTGGACCTCCCGAGCTTCGGTTTCCATCTGTAAAGTGAGGCTTTCGGTAGCAGCTCCCTGGTCAGGCTGGCCAAGATGCTATGTGGAGAGGACATGCCACGCACCCGGCCCACTGTGAGAGCTCAGATGTTTGCTGTCGCCTCTGTTTTTAGTGTCTCATCCAAGAGTTTTTAGCCACAGGGGCTAGTGTAGGGAGTCTCACCAGGGGGCGATTCAGTCCCCTGGGACCCTGGGTGATTTGTGGTTGTCATGACTGGGGGTGCTCCTGGCATGGAGTGGGTGGAGGCCAGGGACACTGCTCAGCACCTGCAGCGCCCAGTACAGCCCCACCACAAAGAGTGACCCAGCCCCACATGTCCACAGCACCGAGGAGGAAGGCCCTGGGTTAGTGGACGGGCTTTGGGGGGTGCCTGGAGCCCCCCCAGACAGTTTGCATGTCAGTGCACCTATGTCAAGAGAGAAGAGGCCTGAGGCAGGGCCACCCACTCAGAGCGTCACAGTGGACAGCACTGTTCATCCAGGTCCATCATGAGGTGGGAGCACAGGTTGAGGGTTGGCCTTGGTGACCATCATCCCAGCCTGACCGTCATTTGGTGTGTGCCGAGTCGGAGTGTTAAAACCTCGGAATGGATCTTGTGTGTCTTTATTAGTTTCTCCAGCAGTTGATTTTTTTATTTTTTAAAGATGACCGGTAAGGGGATCT